TTTTACACATAATAAAATAAAACTATTTTCAAGTTGAAAGTAGAACGACTTTTTGATTTTTATTATTGTCAAATAACTCAATGAAAACTAAACCGATTGCCACAAAAATTTATTCTTTTTTCACTTCATTTATTTGAGTAATATCTCCAAAGATCAAGCGAAAAAATATTTTTCTGTTGAAGAGAAAATTTACCTTTGCTATCAAAATGTGGAATAACAGTTCTTGAAGTATTATAAACTGATCGATATCGCTCTATAAAAAATACAAAACTTGGTTTTCTCTTATTATTAAAATTATTTTCAGCAATGTTTTTTCCTCCAACGGCACAATAACTATGCTCTTCATTCATCTGTTTATTGTATAAATCGATAGAATCCAAAACGGAATATAAACATTATTTAAATTGTCGATTAACTGATACAAAGATTTCCTAGTTATCACTTTCTGGATAAATAAATACTTTTTCTTCAATGGCATTATCAATAAATGAAGAATTTCGGAAAAATCATGTTCATTATGATTAACTTTTTACGTTATAGAAAATCTTTCATTCTGATCGATATAAATTCAAATAAGTCAATAAGAAAGCTTGGAAAAGAAACTTTTTTGCATTATTTTAATAGTTAAATCCTATTGAACTATAGGCGTGGTCAATTATAGAATATATTATATTATTTCTAGCGATGGAATTATCCAGAGATTTTCTACAATGTATTGAGATTTCCATCTGAACAGATCGATATGACCGATCAGTCGGCTAGCAATTAACTAGTATCAAATATACATTTGCAACGAAAAACAAAATCCGATCGGTTTTGTGTATTGATTTAATGCTGACCCAGTTTCCATTGTTTGAAAAACTGTGTGATGAATATATATTCTTTCAAGAATAAATATATTCTGACAAAACAATATTCATTTGTACGACCATAGGATTGTGTGCCACTACAGGATTCGCTTGCGACGATTTTCGAAAGAATTCGACATCAGCTACTTAAATGCGTTGTGTTCTTGTATTGCTCATATGCATACAAACCGAACAAGAAAATGATGGCTACAACTTAGAAAAATGTCACCATGAAGCATGTAAAAAGAAATCTTAACTGCGAGTCGTCTTTCACTATCGAATTGATGAAACCTAGAAGTAATCAGATTAAATAAAACAAATCGTTTTTATTAATATATACCTTGAAAATACATAATAGATGAAAAATTTCTTAATGTAACTTTCGAATAGTAAAAAGAATAGCTTCACGTTTGTTTATATAGTATTTTTATGTAAAATGCGAAGTTTTCAATGTCAAATATTAATGTTCGGTGCCATCATTCTACCTTCAATAACAACAACGAAATAACAAGGTGGAATGATATCATATCAAAATTGAATGAATCAGAGATTATCTTTTAGCGAATCCTGATCGAATTACATAAAAGTCTCCTGAATGATCAGGATGTCAATTTACAGGGTGTGGATCTTCTTTTTGATTAGATCTATACGCATCCCGACACATACCCACATCCGGCCTCTCCCCTGTTCACAGCCAACATTCGATCATTCTGAGAATTTTATATTCCATTGAAATCAAGAAATTTTTCATCGGTAAAAAGGCATCTTTGAATATCATCTTTGGTATAATTATTTAACAGCCAATTTTTAAATTTCACCCTTTTGCGTTTCTGAATGTCGATCACCTTTGGCTACTTAACTTTCTTGTGTGAGAAAAATTCAAGATCTGCCTACAATATGCGCTGGGCACTTCTTCTTGTTGAGAAGCATTTCTTTTGAGCTCGATGACATTTGGCCTTCGAGATGTTGACTTTCATTCGAACTGTTCACGGACGATCAGAAGGAGAAAATAACTTGATTGAACTGGGTTGATTGATCATTTGAACCCACAATTTAGTAGTTCTTAATGAAACTATTTTACCTAAATCTCGGCAGATTTTTGTTGGTCCATCATCATTTTCATATTTAATTTTTACAGCTTTTTGGACATCTTTACTCTTCATCTTTCTTCAAATATTTGTGAAATAAGTTTCCAACCCAGTCATATATATCTTTGTACAGAATTTCAAGCGCCATCTTTCAATAAACAGAAGCGCTTCGATCGAAAGGATAATAGAGGAGGAAATTCCAAAATACTAAGAGAACTATTTAAATCTTCGCCACCCGATAGTTTGTTTAGTGTTAATTAGAGTGCAATGTTTGCCTCTAACCGACTTGTGGACGAAGACGTCGACATGCGCAATGTATATAGGTGAGTCCAATATCCTTGAGTTGCTTGTTCATGGCAAACAGTGCAATCGTCATCAAAGCAACAAAAATTGAAATAGCATTGGATGCCAATAGATAGAGTGACTCCGGTGGTGGGTTGTTTGGGTTGATGATCATACGCCAAAAAAGAACAACGGTAATTGGCATGCCACTTAGGCCGTAAATGCATAACAAAATCGTCATATTTCGAGCTAGCTTCATTTCACGTTTCATATTCGGGGCATTGGAACTTGTGGCCTCTGTTACTGTAGGAATTATTCGTCGAGATGATTGCAAGGTGTGTTTCCAAATCTTGTAATAGACTACAATAGACAAATTGAGCGGAATGATGAATCCAATGACAAGGATCAAAATGGTTATGGGCGCGTCATTTTCTGATGGAAGGCAAATACGTTCGTTGTCGTCGAATCCGTAGCCGTCTTTAACTAAAAATGGTGGAATAGGTGCTAGAAAACTGATGATCCAGTTCAACGCAATTAAATACCAGTGAACTCGAAAAGTGAGCAAACGTTGATTTTTAAAAAATACAACGAAGAAGAGACGACTAATTGCTTGTGCCAAATATGAATAGCAAATCGCAATGCCAGACACCATAAAACAAAAAGCTCGAAAGACACAAAGCGGCTGGTTACGTGCCCAATCTTCACGAAAGCCATAGACAGATACAATAAAAGTATTGATGTAGCCAGCTGAAACAGCAACACATGTATTGACCAGAAGAAGATTCGAGACAGTACGACATTGCTGATAACTGGCAATGATTACAATTATCATAAAACAGCAGAACAAACCGGCAATCGAAACAATAATCGAGAAAGAGAAGTTAATAGCGTAAAACAGGTTGGTAAGCATGTTTACAGACAGTCGTCGTTTAACTGATTCAGCAATAATGCTGTCAGAATCTGCTCTTTTTTTTTTTTTTTATAAAACCACCATGCGTAAAGCACGCTGTACGTCATCCTCTTTTTTCTACTTTCATGGTTACAAAAATGTTGCAGTGGTTACTATTAACACATAGTGACTCAGTGTAGTTTGCATGCAATTGTCTCTTTTTATTGTGGGATTCAAGTAGTATATCTTGCCATGCATTTACTTGTGTCTTTGATATATTCATATTTGCATGGTAGTAATCGTTCTGACAATGACGCAAAGTACGAGTGACAACTTCGACAACTTTCGATGCAGTCATCGAGAAAGCATCGCATTCGTAAATATTTCTTTTGACATGCACATATGAAGCAACAGCTTTAACAAGTTTTGTATTCAAAATTTTAATGCAATTAATAAAAACAGTAAGAATATCTAAAAAACTTTTCCGCATGCCATTTTCAAGAAATCTATTGACAAGGGTAAGAAGCAAGACAAAGAAAGAGTCGATTTTAATCTGAAACATTAGGAAAATCCAACAAATGTGAATAAACTCAATACACAAAAATCTTCACTATGTACCAGAAGTTTGTCAGCAACGCTAGAAATTCTCGTTAATCATTGTCTTTATTGCATATGTTTAGGGCGAATAATCCACAAGAACTTCGTAGAAAAACATGCGTTTGACGATCCAAAATTTATCATGTTGTTCTCATGCATAAGTCAAACTAACGAAGATTTTGTAAATGGGGTCAGAAATGGACGTAATCATCAGGACATTGGCATTGATCTTAATCGTTTTATATGAATGTCAGGTTAAACATCTTTATATTTTGGTAACCATGAATAAGGATACATCGATAAGTGCTATAGAGACAAGAGTGTTATTATTTTATACTAATAATATGCATGGAATTTGATGAGGGTGTGGGTGTGTATTAGTGACAGAATGACAAACACACTGAAACTCCGCAACCATGCTAGATACATAGCAAATTTTTAAATTTTCACATCTTGGTAAAAATATTATGAAATCCAAAATAACACACTATATTAAGTTTTATTTGGTACATTTGTGTTTGATGAGACGCATGTCAACTGTTCCTTCAACCACAATAATATTTTTTACCCCTATCATTTGTAGATTGTTTATGATTTCGAATATAATCTTCTACAGAAGAAAGCTACTTAAAAAACCCGAGTGTTAAAAGAACTTTTACTTTCTCTAATATGTAAATAAAATATTACAAGATTTTCAATTTGCACATTTTCTAATTTTCCGTTCTTGAAATCAACACCACACAAAATGATTATTGTCGATGTATATTTCAGCTAAGAAGAAATCGACAAATAGTCCAGATGTACATATATACAGTACGGGACAATCTCACATTTCACCAAGATATGATATTATCCAGTTAACGGCTTTCATTATCGTTTACGCTGACAACAGTCGACTGAAGAAATGTTTCCCACTTTTTAATCATCTAATATGCAGTACGGAAGTCAAATCGTCGTTTTGAGAAGTTCACTGAAGATAAAAGAAAACTCGTTTAAGAGATTCAAAAACATTTCCGGGCCACCTAAAGGTGTTGATCCTTCAGATGAAGTTCGACCAAGTGTCTGACGACTTACTGTTCTCTAGCACATTATGAAGAGCTTGCTACAATGAAGAACACACCGTACGCGGCTATATACAGGTAAGTTCTGCTTCATACCTCATGAAATATTATATATTTCGACTATTGTACTGGTTAAATAAAAGTATGCGCTACAGAACGTTAATAGTCTCACATATGATAAAAGCTTATATTTAGACAAACTTCGTTTTCATATGTGAGAAAAGATAAAAAGAAAATGACTACAGTGACAATAACTGAAACTTTTTTTGGCGTAACAGAGAATGGAAATGAAATAAAAAAGTATATAATAAATAGTTTCAATGAATTTTTGTTATCCGTAATATTCATATTTAGATATACTCTTTCAACAACAGATGGCTTTGAAGTTGCTTTAATTAATTATGGTGCAACAATTCAATCCATTCGACAACCAGATAAACAAAATAAAGTCACAGAAATTACACTTGGTTATGATACTCTTCAAGGTAAATAAATGAAAAAGAAAAATATAATTCTTAAAGTGAATTGTTTATTACTTTTTATCCTTGCAGAGTATATTGATGATGCATATTTTTTCGGTTGTACAGTTGGCCGAGTGACGAACCGAATAAGAAACGGTCGTTTTGAATTAGATGGAACTATTTATGAATTACCTAAGAATGATGGTATAAAAAAACATTATTTACATGGTAGTTTTAATAAACGTGTATGGGATAGTTCAACAGAAAATAATAATACTGTTGTCTTTAAATATCGAAGTCCAGATGGTAACTATTTTACATTTGAAATTCCAATTTAAAAAACAAAACATTTCTTTTTTCGCAAACAAAAGATGAAGATGGATTTCCAGGTGAAGTTGATGTTACTGTCAAATATGTGTTGACAAGTGATCATCGACTAACACTTGATTTTCATGCAACGACAACAAAACCAACACCCGTAAATATGACAAATCATGTTTATTTTAATCTTGCTGGACATGTAAATAATCATGTTCGTTATATATTCAAAATACGATAGACTTTTTGTTTTGTTCAGGCAAATGGATCGATACTTGATCATCAACTAATAGTACCAGCTAGTAAATTCCTTCCATCAGATGAAGAATTTATTCCTACAGGTATAGTATTGACAATGCTTCTGATTAATGTTACTTTTTCTTTAGGAGAAATAAATTCAGTAGAGAATACTCCATACGATTTTCAAACATTAACTCGTATTGGTGATCGTATTAATGCATCGGTTGATGGCTATGCTATGATGTTTATTGTAGATGGTGAAGGAAAGCGTCCATTTGGCAAGTAAGCCTAATATTTTTAAAAATCAATTCATGGTGATTCTATTGTTTTCCTATATATATTCATCATTAGACTTGTTCATGAGCAAAGCGGTCGAGCGATAACTATTGATTCAACACAAAAAGGTCTTCAATTTTATACAGGAGATTTTCTTGATGGTAGTAAAGGACATGATGGAGTAGTATATAAGAGGCATGGTGCATTGTGTTTAGAAACTCAGAATTTTAATGATAGCGTTAATAATCAAGTAAATCTAATTTTTAATATAGATAAATCAATTTTATATTTCTTCTTTATTTTTCAGCCTTTATTTGCAAGTACGATTCTTCGTCCTGGTGAAGAATATCATGAACAAACAACCTTTCATTTTCATTTGGAATAATTCATTCATTTGAATATTATACAATAAAAGAAACTATCATTATAAATACATTTTAATTTGGAATCATATTCAATTCCTTTTAATTGCTGATTGTCCATTATTTCAAAGCTAGACATAGATTGTCAAATTTCAATGTCTTTTTTTGTAATAAAACTTTATGATGATTTTATTAGACGAGTTGTTTGAATAGAATAGAAAAAAAAAATATATATATATATATCATTAAATGTATAGATGTTAACATAGAACTTATTTTATTTGAATGAAATCAAGAAAATAAACGCATTTTAATTTTTAGGCGATTGAAAAATCTCAAATATATTTCATCAAGGAAAACATCAAAGATATAAAAATGATCTAAACATTTAAGCGTAAAATATAGTTGACATTGTTTTTAGACGGCCCAATCTAATTGCACGAAAATTTTTCGTGTCAACCATTTATATTTTAAAACGATATGCAAACTCAGCACCAGATCACTATTGTATAAACTACAACAACTCGTTTGATAGTGATATTGAGAAAAAGATGATGAAACTCTATTACCAATGCAGTTCTTAGAGTCAGGGTGGGTGGGTGAGTGTGTAGTTCTTGGTCTTTTCTTCGTACACACCCACATCCTTCGGTTTCTAGACCCTATCCTTTCAATCTAGGGCATAGTAAGATGATGAATTGAATCAAAAACAGTTTCTTCACCACAGACATCCATCTCCAAATTTGACTTTTCATTTAATCTAAAATGTTTTCTTCTTCAAAAAAATAAGAAAAAAGGGATAATATCTGCTATTCAATGGAAATTATTTTTTTAAGTAACTATATGGTTTAAGTGAATAGATGACCCCCTGTATATTTCTTCCCCAATTTATATCATGTGCAAAGAACCATTGTCGTTCCAACCAAAATGAAGAATTGAATTTCTTGAAATGATCCTCGTATATAGATATCATGAAACCAGGACAACCTGTAAGATACGTAAATTCCAAATCAAAGATTTGCAAATGTGGCATAGAAGATAAAATTAATTCTTCCCATCGTTTGGGATCTAAATACAAATCATCATAGTCTACTAAGATATGTAACACCTTAAG